ACTGCCCTTATACTGAGTGACCATCACCACTGTCTGTCATTATACTGAGTGACCATCACCACTGTCTGTCCTTATACCGAGTGACCATCACTACTGCTTGTCCTTATACTGAGTGACCATCACCACTGTCTGTCATTATACTGAGTGACCATCACTACTGCTTGTCCTTATACTGAGTGACTATCACCACTGTCTGTCATTATACTGAGTGACCAGTCACTTCCGGAAATCATTAGTGACTGCATTACCCATGAAGATTTTCACCGCTCATTTGCGGCATTTCAAAAGATGTCCAGAACATATTTTTTTATGGTCCATAGAGGGTATATAACTGTAGAGGATAATAGTGCACCAATAAGGAAGGATAAAAATCCAGTTTCTTAGATTACTTTTGGTTGTCTAAACTACGCTGGACGTCTTCAAGCTATGCGTTAGGACCTCCGGCATCGCTGGAATCCCCATAGGAAAGCACTGAATAATGCTCTCCTATGAGGAGGTCTAATGCACGCAGCCATTAGGTCTCTCTCACCTGTGGACAAGGAGCAGACCGGAGACAGTATCGTGTAAATTGAGGATGAAAAGTAACACACCAAGAACCGATATTTATTATTATGGTTGAAAAAAAGAAAGAACACTACCTAAAAAATATAATCTAAAATTTAACTTTTAATAGTGAATGAAATACAAAGTGCCAAAAAGATGAAAGAGAAAGGAAAGTTGTTATCATGTCTTAAAAACTAAATTCAAAGATGTATACTTAGTGTATAAACGGTGTGTAGTTAAATTCCTCGTTAAGTCCCTTTTTTTGGCACTTTCTTATTACATCTAATTATATGTACATATTGATACCTTCAGATTGACAACCCATACTGATTTTGACCTTTTTCATAACTACTAACAATTCACCACTTTATACTACAAGATACTACAGAGATAATAATCACTTATAGCGCCCTCTGCTGTATCTCTAGGCAGCACCCGTCCCGTACTTCATACTTCTCAAGATAGTTTTCTGTTCCGTTTACAAAATTAAATAGGAGATCAAAAGGCAACATATCATTTATAAATAAAAATTTCTATACTATACGTTAAATACAGCATGTATCTGCACAAAATTATTTTCAATCTATTAATGTGCAACCCTGTACCTTAAAGATATGTATCCCCTTTTAACCCCTTAAGGACCAAACTTCTGGAATAAAAGGGAATCACGACATGTCACACACGTCATGTGTCCTTAAGGGGTTAAAACTGTATAGGAGCCACATATAAAATGTAACATAGTTGTTCTATTTGATCTAATACATCCATATGTATTGTTGCTAAATTTATTTAGGGGCAGAGTGATTAGCTCCTTATATGGCACCTACCTAATATGAAAATACACATATACTTATATTACATCAATTTATATTAACCTAAATATTAACAACATACCTATTAGGCAACTAAGGGTACGAGCACAACAATTGCGGTATACTTATGTATTATGTAGGATTGCATTAAAACCATATCGCTTATCACATACCTTCTGTATCTCCTTTTTTAATATGCAAATATGCAAACATACAATTCAACTTCGAACAAAGTAAAATGGTCCTCTCTGACCACCGTCTTACGTCAGCCACAATCGATGACGTTAACGTTTTCGGGACTCCAATCAAACCTTTGGGAGCCCTATTTAAAAGCCAAACCGGCTATGACCAAGTTCCCCTTGAAAAGCCGCCTTACCGGCGAAACGCGCGTCAGGGTTTTTTTTCGATCCCTCCTAACACTAAACCCTCTGTACTTGCAGGGATTATTCTTTTGAAAATCTATATCTCAGTTAAGAGTTACTTAGACCTTGGGCATGTCGGGAGGGAAATTAAGGATTTAGCCGCTCATATCATTTGAGGCTACAACGCTCTTAGCGTATTGACACTAGACAACATATTACAGGGTATTGATTAAGGCTTTAGACACTTAGATGCTAGCCAGTTAGCTTTATTATTTGCTATATCTACAAGAGAGGTGCCCTTGAAGGCACAGTTATATATTGAATACAAACAACAATGATAGTGTGCAGCGCAAAACAAGGTGATACCACAGAGTAAAATGTGATACATGCACTGTGAAGGTATATATACCCAATGAAAGATACACAGATACCCCAATGTATAAACAGAGTCAGATCTTAACTGAAGATCAGAAGATACTGAAGGATTCAATATAACCTTTCTCCTCTGTCAGTCTCTTTTTCAAATATTTATAGAGGAAAAAAATCCAAGGATATTCTTCTGTGTGGAGCTTGTTCCTCAAAATAAATAATGCAGAACAGGCACACCAATTACAAAACCAAGTATACACATTTATTCAAAAAAATATTAAAATTCTTACATAGAGGTTGTAATGATGCTGTTCACATGTGAATACCATAGGCACAACGCGTGTGCCTGTTCTGCATTATTTATTTTGAGGAACAAGCTCCACACAGAAGAATATCCTTGGATTTTTTTCCTCTCTAAATATTTGAAAAAGAGACTGACAGAGGAGAAAGGTTATATTGAATCCTTCAGTATCTTTTGATCTTCAGTTAAGATCTGACTCTGTTTATACATTGGGGTATCTGTGTATCTTTCATTGGGTATATATACCTTCACAGTGCATGTATCACATTTTACTCTGTGGTATCACCTTGTTTTGCGCTGCACACTATCATTGTTGTTTGTATTCACTTTACTGTGGGATTTTTGTGATTATTCCCACTTAGTGTGTTCCAGCTGCTGTGTCTAGCGCCACGGTCTATACTGTTTGCCTTTTTTCTCTATACAGTTATATATTGAGGATACAGATTTTTTTTCTCCTCTTCCTCTCCTTAATACTTGCAGTTAGTTCTTCTGTCTGACAGGTACCCTTGAAGGCACAGATATACCTTTACCTTCTGACTATATCTACTTTGGGGTTTTATATAACGGATTACTCCCAGAAGGTGCTGTCTCGCATATTTATTTTTCTTCACATTACTTTTGTGAGCCTAACTGCAGCCTATATCTAATAGTCAAATTAGACAGTATTCTTGTGTTGTCATACTACTTTAGTGTCAAATTTCGTGAGTATTCTTTACAAACTACAGCAGCAGACGGTCTCTATTTGCAGAGCTTGATTAACTGTAACAGAGTACTCCTGACAAATTGTAACAGTAGACAACCACAATAGCAGACAGTTTCTATTCAGAGCCGGATACCTAAGTCTATTCAGACATTGCTAACTACACCTTTGGTATCTAGATACTGTCTGTCGGTTTTTAAATCTTACATTTTTTCACATTATCTCTCTATGTCTTGGTATGCATATATCTAGACTTACTAAGATTAAATGTGTGAAATGATCACTTTGTATTTCATTCACTATTAAAAGTTAAATTTTAGATTATATTTTTTAGGTAGTGTTCTTTCTCCCTTTTTTTTAACCATACTTGCATTCAGGGTTAACCCCTTCACTGCCTTGATACTTTACCTTTATACCAGGCTTTCACTTTATCAGATATTTATTATTATATTCATATTATTATTATGTTATTATTTATATAGCGCCAACAAATTCCACAGCGCTTTACAGTGGGTGGACGAACAGACATGTAGTTGTAACCAGAAGTTGGACACACAGGAACAGAGGGGTTGAGGGCCCTGCTCAATGAGCTTACATGCTAGAGGGAGTGGGGTAAAGTGACACAAAAGGTAAGGATAATATTAGCTGACAGTTGCAAGAGAGGAATTCATATTAGATTAGCAGGAAGTCAATCATCTAGGAAATGTCAATGAAAAAAATAAATCTATATTAATTTTATTCAGTGTTTTAACGTTAATCCAGTGGAATCCCAGCAGCCACCTGGATGTAATTTGCATAGATGTGGCTTTAGACATTTTGTCATCATTAGCCATGTTAAAAGAAGGTATTAACCTCTGCAGCCAATTAAATTAGATCATAAATAAAAAAATGAGCTCTCAATTGGAGATACACTGTTTGTAGGGTTACAGTCTCCTGTTAGTATACAGTGTATTAAGGTAATTAAAGCATTATACATTATGGACTCTTGTTGAGTTAATGGGGGTAGAATTACTGCAAGAGCAAAATCACAGCGTTAATTTAAAGACTGTGAATTACGATTAATGTACAAAGCCCTGAAAATTAAAACAAAACCAATTTATTCCACTAATTTTTTAACCAAGCTCTATTACAACCTATGATCATTCAGTGAGGAAACCGATTCAGAATTTCATCTCCCGAGTTGTGTTGTCGCTCGGGAGATGCGGAGTTGCTGTAATCAAACATCAGTCTCCTCCATTCATCATGTACTGTTTCTCCTTACGGAGGAACAGGTAAGGATTAACCTCACTGAAGATACTGATGTGAGTTACTAGCAAGGAACAGACCGGAGACAGTACCGGGTGAAATGAGGGAGAAAAGAAACACTCACACCAAGAACCGATATTTATTATTATATACCTATTAGATTAGCAGGAAGTCAATCATCTAGGAAATGTCAATAATAAAAAATAAATCGATATTAGTTTTATTCAGTGTTTAACGTGAATTCCTTGGAATCCCAGCAGCCACCTGGATGTAATTTGCATAGATGTGGCTTTAGCCATCTAGTCATCGTTAGCCATGTTAAAGGAGGGCAGTATAACCTTCGCAGCCGTTTGGTAAAAGCCAAAAAAAAGCGGAGCTCTTTAATGGAGATACATTGTTTGTAAAGTTAGAATTTCCTCCTATTAGTTCAGATTTAACTCATTGAGAAATTAATATAAAACACACAACAGCCTCTCATTGAAATAGTAGCAGTAACTGCAACCCAGTGACAGCAATGGTCTCTTCGCAGTTTTAATTCCAGCCAATTAAAATACCAACATTGAAAAGAAAAATTGTTACGTTGTGACAATGCTACTAGAAGTTACTGAGTAACATATATTGTTTAACAAGCTCTATTACACTTTCTGATCGAACAGTGAGTTTACCGA